AGGCGTCAAGGACCGCAAGGGTGAGACTGTCCCTTTTTCTGGAGATGCTTTGTGCACTTGAACTCATGCTTGCCAGTACTTGACTGATACCCCCAGAATAGAAGGGGCTTCATGTTAAGAAAAATAAAAAAGCCTACCAGCAAAGGAGTGACTGCGATGAAACAACAAAAATGGTGTAGTTGTATGAAGATAGTACAATCTCTTTCCAGATGAAGTTGAAGAAAAGTCTCATTATACGAAACAGGGGTGATCGACTATTTGCCAGTATTTGGGTTTTTAAATAACAAAAAAAGATGCAAGCCTCTGGCCTTTACTTCGATCCGAGTATATTAGATTCCTTTGGCTTTGAACTGGCATTTAATTAAAATTGACATTTATGATTTATGATGATTTTTCACTAATTTCACAAAATTGGGCATACAGAAAAAAAAAAGTATTTTTGAGCGCTTTTTTGTGCCCACGATATCGGACCATTGATGGGCGGACCATCTGATGTACCTCGACATAAAGTACTGTCAAAATACATCCGACGGTCATAAAAAAATGAAAAAAAAACAAATTGAGATAGACCTGATGTCCGGAGTCGCCACAATACCGGACCATCAATGGCCCGATGTGGGCACAAAAAACTGCTAAAAAAACTGCTGTTTTCTGGAAGTCCAATTTCGTGAAATTAGTTTAAAATGTCAATTTTGAATTTTAACTATATGCCAGTTTTTAAGAGATCAATCATCTAAAGCTCCATAAAAGAAAGAGAATTCAGAGAGAGAGAGAGAGAGAGAGAGAGAGAGAGAGAGAGAGAGAGAGAGAGAGAGAGAGAGAGAGAGAGAGATGCGATTCGTATGCTTCATATACGCTTTCGTAGTCAAGACCACATGGTGTCTGGGCAGAGGAAACAAGTAATTGAAGATAATACAAAGGACTAAGCAATGCTGCGCTGCATGATGATGATTCAGCATTGACGAAAGCTGCACAGCACAGGGCGTCCCCAATTGGGTTGCGGAGAATTTAAAAGCCAGTAAGCCGAGAAAAGTGGACGGGAGGGTGAAGGGTGATGCTCTCCGTAGTAAATCACGAAATTCCTGCACTAGACAGCGCCCAGCTTAACAATGAGAATTTTACAGTTACGGACCTTAAAGTAATACCAACTTACCATCAGTAAACAATGATCTTGTCAGGTGGATCCCTTGCTGATACCATGCCTAACCCAGGGCCACCCGAATTCAAAACCGAGTTTTAAATTTTAAATAGCAAATCTGAAAGACGAAATCCAATGACATTATACACCATGGCGTCACTGAAGCCTATCGTCTTCGGTCAATAGCATCCCAAACCACCGCTCTACTTGAAGTGCGGAGTTCTCGCCGGTCTGTTTCTGTGAAAGGAACGGAAAAAGCTGCTCCTGCCAGATCAGCCAACTAACAAGGCACTGCGACGAGAGCACTGGTCGCAAAAGTGGGGTGCGGACATGCCGTGGTCTGAACTTTAAAGTTGGTACCCAACTTACCCAAGTGCATTAACCTCCTGAAAGCAGAGGTACAACTGGTCCTGAACCCTAAACCACAACCGGGTCGCACATGTCCAGAATTTCCCCTTGGCCATGGAAGATCAAGACAGGGCTAATGGATCGCCAAATTCATGGAGAACTTCGGCAACCTCCCACAAAAGCGGAAAAAAAAAAATAAAAAAAATCAGGTCACCATTGGCGCATTGATTGAATTCGCTGCGGACAAAATAAGCACTCACCATGTGGGAACCGATAAAAATGATGAGTCACTCGAGAGTACATAATCAATGGGTTTTCCCTTTGGATGAAATTTGAATGCGCTGCTGTGCACAGCTGCAGCAGCAGCAGCAGGGCAACCCATGACAAAACCTGCATCGAAGGTTGCGCCTCTTTTCCTGACACAACCAGTAGACCAAAAAGTTAACACCATTGCTGGCGCCAGCAAGCTGCTCACCACACCTGGATGTTCGAGAGCATAGATAGGTTTGGATATATAGTATTTACATATTCCTCCTCAGTCAACAGCCTGAGCTTCTCTCCTCATCCTCCAGCTTGATGAGCCATATTTGTTGTTGACAACATGTCCACAGGAGGGCGCAGAAAATCCAACACGTGACCAACTGGGTGAGCTAAGTGAAGCTACACCAAGTACAGCTTCAGGGCCACCTCAGTACAGCAGAGGCAAGTCGAAAGACGCCAACTTCGCCAAGGTCAGTTAAAAACTAAAACATGCCGCCGTTAGAAGGTACATGCCGAGGGTCGCAGTAATCATCATTTCATGTCGCTAGAACTACAAACAGTGTTGAAACAAATACAGTTAAGGTGAGTCTGCATAGCACCAACCCGGCCAAGGTATATTTCAGTCAAACGAAGCCCAGTCCAAGGTCACATGGCAAAACCAAACGCCAAGCCGCGCAATGCACGCCTAGCTTTAAGTCAAACTAAGCTCCGTCAAAACACATTGAGTAGCTGAAACACCAAGACGCCTCATGCACACCGAGCTTTTAGTCAAACTAAGCTCCGTCAAAGGCCACATCAAGTCACTGAAATGCCAGGCCGCCTAATGTACACACAGCTTTAAGTCAAACAAACTACACTCAGCCATTCTAAGCACAGGCAAAAGCCACACCGAGTAATCCAAATGCCAAGCTGCCTAATGTACGCCGACTGAGCTCACTCCAATCCAACCCAACGCAAGACACCACAGCTCTAAACGAAGACAAGCTACCAATCGCATTTACACTATCTTTCAGCCACACAACCTGAAATCTAGGAGCTTTTCCATTCTGCATCACCTGCTGGGAGGACGCCTCATTGATGCCCATCCACTTTTCACATAGACCCCCTGCCAGGCTTATGACAGTTAATGGCCCATCCTGCTTCAGTGGAGAGAAACCCAGATTCACAATGAAGGGTCGGATTTGAAGCCCGCGCTCAAGCCCCACCCCAACCCCAACCCGAAATTAGCGGAAGCCTGGCATGACGGTCATGACCCCCTTAAAAAAAAACCGGAGATTAGCAGAAGCCCAAAGCAGTCAACCCTTCACCAATCACGCTAACCGGTGCAGCATTAAATTAACGCACGGTAAGAACCCCTCACAGGCTAAATCACTGCTCAGCACTCGAAGCCAAACTAATCTGAAGTAAAACTGAACTTAACGTGACCAATCTAGACAACAATATTAAACGAAATGAAAACAAACTAGTATTATAGTTGCATTTTAAGGGAAAAAATTACAGTAGACTAAGCTGAGCTGATCTAAGCAAAAGCTGAGAAAAGCCAAACTGTTACAGCCAAAGCCGAGGTTTCCTTACATCGGCTGAGATGTTTGGAAAAACTGTCTCGTGGTGCAGAACGCAGGCTTGTAGTCAGGCGTAATGGCGACATAAAAGTAATAGGCCCACAGAAGCGACCAACAGAACGGGATGACATCAATTAGCAGAACAGAATAGGACGTGGGTGGCGGGAATTGGACACGGAAATGCGGCACATTGCTTTCGTTCGAGTCGTCATAAGAGAGGAGGGTTGCCCTTTCGGCGGGCCCGATGGGCGAAGGACACATAACAGAGTAAATCGGCCTGGCGAGATGCTGCGAAGCGAACAAGACGAATAAAACCAAGTTCGAGACGAAAAGAACTCGACTGCAGTCGTGAATGTCTAAAAATAGAATCTTCCACATCACCACTGCCAGTCCAATTGCAATGGACATCACATGGTAAAGAACAAGGTTAAGATTTCTCAGCAAGGCGCCAAGGGCTCCACTGCGGCGAGAGTTCACGAACGAGGACCCCGTCACTTGGAACTCCTTGGGAATCAACGGGAACATAACGCGGAGAATGCCCATGCACAAGTAGGGAGCCATCCACCATGTAGATTGTTCGTCCCGCAGACGAGTCTGGGTTCGAACCATCATCCCCGGAATCCGCCATAGCCGCGCATAGCTGACCAGCCGATAGCTGACAATACACGGTGCCATGAGTTTGACGTACATTCTCATGTCCTCCTCTGTTACATCGATTGGAATCAACGACCATTCGAATGCAAGAATGGAGACTGCAATTATATACACAACAGCGACAGGGAAACAAAGGAACCATTTGGCACCGGAGTACAAGTACATCAAACGGCGATAAAGACTGAACCTTCGGCCAAAATGGGACAAGATCCTGCGCTTCAAGATAATCTGCACACCACCCATGCACCACCTCTGCCGCTGCTCAATGAAACTAGACACCGTCCAAGGTGCCAGTCCCATCTGAAGATGTTGGATCAAGTACACGGAATCATATCCTTGTGCATGAAGATGGAGAGCCGTGTCAAAATCTTCCGTCAGTGTCCCAGTCGAAAAGTAGCCTACCTCTTCAAGCGCTGCTCGCCGAAAAACGGCACCTGTTCCAATGCACATGGCTGCACCTGCGCGCACATACGCTCACCAGCATCAGCTTACTAAGCTCTACAAGTGCTCTCTCTCTCTCTCTCTCTCTCTCTCTCTCTCTCTCTCTCTCTCTCTCTCCCCACAACAATTTCACCTCTGTGTGTGCGCGTGTGTGTGTGAGTGTATAGATAACTATGGGTTGGTGACATGTCAATAGAGTACCGCCTCAGCAAGACAGTTAACACCATCTTAGTGCGAGGGACTGAGATGCTGCAGGGGTTGCGTCCCGCATAATTTATCTAAGAGGGAAATTCAATATGAAAGAGGGAAGAGGGACTGCCAGATAGTCTGGAAGATGCGCAGCTCCGACAGAATGACCCTCACGACAATCGATTAACTTGCTACTTCTTTTTTCTTTTTCCGGTTTTACAAGTGTGCTCCTTCATCGTTATTGTAAACACCTGCTTCATTTTCTTTCTCCTCAAGAAACTATGCCACTTAAACTGCAATCCTGACTATGGTACCCTTCGGGACGACATTCAGCTCGTACGGGCTAAGAGAAAAATTGTCCATGGATTAAGGCACATCGACGGGCAGCATCTTTAATGTGTGCAACTGACTCATCGCCCCTGAGCAGTCCGCCATTGTTTTCTAGGATTGTGTACTTGGGGCGCTCTTTCCATCATCCCTCACACTCCCCATACACACAGTGCCACAAGCAAAAACGTTTACAAGTTATAGACGCCCACACTGCTATGATCAAGATGCAATCTGTCATGTCACAAGATAGTGCCACTGCTAAGGCCTTTTCCGCACGTATCTGACCTTATTTCCGGCCCGCCGTGGCTGTATCTAGCCGGAGTTAAGTCCCGAAATGAACTCGAACAAGGCCTACGGTAGTCTAGAGAACGCCCTCAGGCTATCTGGTCGCCGCACAGTCAGTGGCAGGGCAGCCAGACAGATTCGGTCAAAGGTTGTACAGCGTGAGCGGGCCCTGGTTGTCATCAAGATGATACTGGGGCCTCACCAGGGGCCAGGTCCCGCTAGCAAAAGAGGATTCGACTAAAAGCCTGAATCTGGACCTTGGATGTGGAAAGGTGCGGAGAATGGAAATCGATCTGCTTTTCTGCATCACTGCGAACAACAGGCCCAGATTCAGGCGTTTAATGCCATCCTCTCTTTGCTAGTGGGACCTCGCCCCAGGTGAGCCAAAGGAGGAACTATAGACAGTGTAGAGTTACCAGTGGCCGATCATTTCGATGACCATATCTCAAAACCGTTCTCTTATACAACCAAAAACTTGAAAAAAGTAATTAAAAAAAAAAAAAAAAAAAAAAAACAGACGCAGGGTGCTCCAAGAACAAGTCCACCCCCGCGAGTTTCGTAATCACGTCTGAAAAGACCTTGGCCGTCCTGATCTGCATGGTCATGGCGGTCTCATACACGATCTACCTCTGCACAGTGCAGACGCTCCTAAGGCCGGCTTAGAAGGCCCGCCCCGTCTGCATCATGCAGCCGCGGATCATGCATTGGACCGCCTTCACGGTCCACATGCGGACGGGCAAGTCGTTTCGGACATCAACGCTGAACGCGGCGAATGCGCTGAGCAGGCTTGTTTCTGAAGTTCACCGTACGTCACACAGCTTCTGATACACACAAGACTGTCGAACCCGGGCAGTATTTTTTCATTTAAAAAAAAATTGGACCATTTCTCGATTTATGCGTGTCATCCTTACGGCCTCACCACATCAATCTCGAAACTGGAGTTTTTTTCCAACCCCCCCCAAAAAAAAAAAAAAACTGGAATTTCTTCCCAAAAAAAAAAAAAAAAAAAAAAAAATTTCGACATTTCTCAGTCGCCACACAGACTGTCGAAGAAAAAATGTACACTTCGACATTTGTCAGAGAAATGTTTTCGACATGGGTGTCGAACCACCAGCCTGCAGCGCCGCGCCCTCAAAGTCGACCCCTCTTTACCCTTCTTCAAATTTCCGCGGTGGTGAAAAGTTGCCCCCCCTCTCAGCTTTCCGTGGCCTGGACATCCCTGTCTTCTTCTTCTTCTTCTTCTTCTTCTTCCTCTTCGTCTTCTTCTTCTTCTTTCACTCTTCTACAAGAAAGCTTTGATTATCCAGCGTCTTCGACAATCGGTGTGGCGAAGGCTGCTTTTCTTTTATCGAACACACCAATCATGAATGTCGAAAAACGCCTGACAAGGGCGTTGCTGCACGGCACGCGAGACGAAAAACGAAACGAATGTATCGCTCCGCAGAAAATGGCCAGGTTCATCGGTTTGCTATAAATAGTAACGAGTGTATTTTCCCACCTTTGGTGGGCAGATGCACTCGTTTCGTTTTCGTTTCGTTTTCGTTTCGTCTGCCGTGCGGCGAGACCCTAAGGCGGTTTCGACATTGGTGTGGCGAGGGCCTTAATTACTGTGCAGGGGCCATGTTAATCTTCTCTCTCTGTATCGTTCCAACTTCAATGGATGTCCCGAAGGACAACCCGGGCAGTATGGGCGTCGCCGCACGGGACACGAAGCGAAAAAACGAAACGAGTGCATCTTCCTGCAGGAAATGGACAGGTTCATCGGTGTGCTATAAATAGTAACGAGTGTATTTTGCCACCTTTCGTGGGCAGATGCACTCGTTTCGTTTTCGTTTCGTCTGCCGTGTGGCGAGGCCTTAAGCTACCTAGATCTTGTGTAAGAAATTGACTTCGACGCACTGGTGATAGTGATGCGTACGGGTTCTGTTCCGCTCCCGGGCGAGGGGGGGGGGGGGGGGGGGGGGGGAGAAGGGGGACGATGGGCAGGCAACCTAGTACTCCCCCAGCATAGAACGCCTGAGAATCATAACCTACAATACCCGACGGAGAATTCGGTCTCAGCCATTACGGAGAACTGGATGATGTCCACAATCTCCATTCCACGGTTCTGTGCACCGCAACGCCGGCAGAAGGGAGCTACAGTAATTAATAAGCCTTGTGTGAACACTTCACCCGCTCGGTAAGTCCCTTCATTGATAGCCTTTCAGGTACTACGTGCTGTAAATGTCACACAGGGAGGACACGTGGATCAATCCTCACTGTCTACTTTTCAACGTACGTAACTGACAAGGCCGGACGCTGTAAAAGAGGAGGAAGAGGAGGAGGAAGAGAAGGAGGAGGAAGAGGAGGAGGAAGAGAAGGAGGAGGAGGAGGAGGAGGAGGGGTGGTACTTTCGATTCGAGCGAGACGACGAAGACGCCAAGTGCCTGGGGAGAGAGAGAAATGTCGGATTCAGGATCTCATGCGTCTGAGTGGGGGCACACCCACCCGTCGACTGTTGTTGATGAAAACCGCACCTGACTTCGAATCCTGATGGAATCAGATGAGTGGACTACCGGTAGCTGTGAATTACTTAAGCCCTTTCTGTTCGATGACGACACCTCAACGCCGTGGCCCTTCGAGCAAACACAACACAGACACTGAAGCCCGTTCAGCTCGATGGCGCACCTCAACGCCGTTGCCCTTGGAACAAACACAAAGCAGACAAAAACAAAACAAAACAAAAAAAAAGGTTGGGTTGGCGTAGCTACTACCGTAGTAGCTAATGTTATAAAGTAAACTTACCCCAAGCGTCGCGGCGCGGCAGCGTGCAATGATAGAAACTGAGGGAGCTATCATTGTGCGGATCTCCAGGGGGAATGTTGTAAAACCCTTGTGGAGATTGCACGAAAGCGATGCTCAAGGAGGTGAAATGCGCAATGGAGGTACTCAGAAAGCGGCGAGAGACGATCATGTCAGCGTCCAAGATGGCGACGAACTCGTACGCAGCACAAGACGGAAGGTTCAGTGCGTGGTTCAGATTGCCAGCTTTGAAGTGATGCGGCACTCCCTGGACCTTCGTCCTCCGCACGTATTGCAGCCGCCGCCGCCGCCGTCGCCGCCTCCCCCCCTTTCCCCCCCTCCCCCTCCCTTCTTCTTCTCCTCCCCCCCCGCCCCCCTCCTCTCTCGTACTCGTTGGTGTTGTTACACTGCTGCTCTCCCCCTCCGCGTCCCCGTCGTCCCCCCAAAGACCCAGACTCTCGCCGTAAACAGCACACCATTTCTGCAACTCCTCATCCCCTCCGTCGTCCAGCAGCCAAACGGCGAACCTGTCGGAGGGGTAGTCCTGACAGAGCGCAGCTCTGACGACCTCCTTGATGACGTCAACGTCCTCGTTGCAGCAGGTGATCAAGATGACGACGGCGGGGAACTCCCCCCGAACGACGAGCGGCAGCTCGGCGCGCTCTGGCTCAGGCTTCAAGTAGTCCAGCAGATCGAAGAAGGGGAAAGCCGCCAGCAAGCCTTCGAGAAGCAGGAACAGCAGCGCCGGCCACGTCAGCGACTCCGCCAGTCGCAGAAACAATCGCGTTTTCCACCAGAAATACGTAGCGAGCGATCCGTACAGAGCGATCAGCAGCACGATCATGATCAGCCAATGGGATTCGGCCGACAGCGAAGTCGTCATCTTCACGGGCGGGACATGGCCATTGACAAACCCTTCCTTGAACTGCCGCGGCGGCGGCGGCGACGCCGCCGCCGACGGGTGCGCGCCAAGCTCCGAACCAAGGAGCGGAGTTTCCGCGCCTGCCAGCGGTCCATTCTCGCTGGAACTCCGGCGGCGAGGGCCGCCGATCGACGGTGTCCCGTTACGAGAGTCTGAACCGTGATCAACGGCTGACGGCGGCTCATCGACGACGACGATGACGTCACCGGCCTTCCGAGACCGCTGACGACGAGGAGACCCGTCCAAGAAGTCGCCCGAGACGGCGCCACGTGTGGCGGCGGCGGCGCCTTCGTCCCGCCCATCGCCCGCCGTCACCTGCGCCGACCAGCCCCCTGGCAACGCTCCGCCTCCCCCAGCCACCCTCGGAGAGTTATCCCCCGACCGTGGGAGTAACACCGACTGCGCCCGCCGCCTCGTCTCCGTGAAAGCCGGCCCATGGAAAACGCCGACGCCGCTGCCAGTCGTTGCAATTGCTGAGTTGACTCGTGGACGGTACTCCCTCTTTGCGCCGTTGCTGAAGTCCTGACCTCCTCCTCCTCCTCCTCCTCCTCCTCCTCCTCCTCCTCGGCCTGACGGCGACGATGGCTCGCTGAAGATCGACCACCCCCGCACACCGCCTTCGCTCCCGGCCCTTTGCTCTTCCTCCACCGTGTCGTCGTCATCGCTAGAGTCCACAACTGCCATTGGCGCGTCGATCAGGGACAATGTCACGGCTGACGTGGCGGAAGGCTTGAGTGACGCCACGTGGCGATCGGGATCTTCGTCGTGATTCTTTGCTCCGTCAACCGTAGTCATCGCGGAGACCGACGACTCATTGAAGTTCCTCTTCCGAGTATCTGTCTGTGGATGATCTGTGGGAAGACCGCTACTCTTCGTCACAGTCAGGGCTCCTCCCCCCAGAGCAGTATTTGGGCCTCCTCCCACACCCTGATGATGTCCAAACTGGGAGTTCCCGATCCCAATCCCAATCGGATTCCCAAGGGGATTGGGATTAGGAGGGGTACTGGGACCAATAATAGAGCTCGTGGAGAAACCTCGAGAACGACGAAACTCTGGCACGGCCATCCTGCGGTCGTCCGCCATAGCCGTGGAAGCTTGGACACTACCTCTCTTCTCCCCAGACTCCCCGTGAATCTCCACGTCTGCGAACGGAACCCGATCTCTCTCTGTGCGCCACGTGTTCATTCGTCGAGCATTCTCCGTCTGAGACTGAATCAGATGCGGATCAGTCTGCTTGTCAACCTGACCATCCCTACTCTCTCCCATTCTCTCTTCCGCAGAGAGAAACGGAGCCCTCAAACCTACGGATGCTAGACTGTGAGGAACGTGAATGGAGCTCGCAGAAAAAGCTCGAGGACGACGAAGAAGTTCTGTTATCCGATCTTCCGCCATAGCCACGTGTCACAAGTTCGTCACGCCTGACTCCTTAAAAAGCTTCTGATTTCCTGAAATTCCACGTGCTACCGGTAGGCCGTGCAGACGCAGCAACAAGGTTCCTCCCTTCCGATTTCCTGAAATTCGACGTGCTACCGGTAGGCCGTGCAGACGCAGCAACAAGGTTCCTCCCTCTTTTTTTTTTTTTTTTCCTCCGAGCACAAAAAATCACTAGGTTCCTCCCTTTTAATTTTCTCCCCGAGACAGATTTTCTACATCCAGTGGGGGAAAAACAAAAGAAGTGACCAAGAACAAGAAAAAAAAAAAAAAAAAAAATCCCCCCAGGCACTCGGCACCTCCTGTTCGTCACCTGGTCGTTCTTTCCTCCAAGAGAGACAGAGAGAGAGAGCTCCAACAACTTTAAAAACTCCCAACTGATTACCAAAAACATCAACTCACAGATTGAGGCAGGAGGAATCGCCCCTCGACGTACATGTCATCAATCGGGTGCACAGTGCTCTCTGCCTCTCCATAGCCTGCCAGCGCACAAGCTCCGCAACAGTACTACGTATTACTAGTATTATACCCCCCTTACAAACGATTTTATTGCTGCCCTCGGATCTCGATCTGAACCTGGTCCGATTTGCTTACCGCAGGGAAACCCAAAGGAGCCACCCAATCAATCTCTCGCTTGACTAGTGGTAATGCTGCTGCTCTTGGTATGATGATGATGATGACGAGGAGGAGGAGGAGGAGGAGGATGACAATCACGCGGAAGGCGAGAGAAATCCTACTGATCTTGACGATGATTTTGATCATGATTGTTGTGATGATGATGATGACTACGTCGATCACTTAGATAAGGAGAGAGACGATAATCCTCCTCCTGCTGCTGCTGCGCTCGTGGAAGGAACACTCCCTTGTTTGATCGGTGCGGTCAGATGAGCCAAAGAATGACGTAAGTAATACTGGTAATAGAATTTATATTATTCTTACATGATGAGAAAAAAAATCATTATTGAGCACCGATTGAATTTTTCTAAAATCCACACTTACCGCTGCGAATAGGTTCGACTTCCAAACACGACCAATCGATTGACGTTGAAGTCAAAAATCTCGGTCCACTGCATAGGTGCAGCAGCAGCCCAGTGTGTCAGAGCAGAAGAGCAGCTAAGAGGGGTACTTGTACATTACTTTGTCCCTCTCTCTCCATTAGGATTAACAATTCGATCCCCCGTTCATGCCCATCCCACATCTGCCGTTTTGTAACGTTAGGATTAACAATTGGAGCGCTCAGCATGCGATGCCATTAACCTCGATTGACTTGACCAATCTGAAGCTCCTCCCTCACGAAGTCGGCAGTCCCGGGACCCCAAGGGGCCGGTCATCCTGAGTACGTCGTCAACGACATCAGCGCAGTGCCACCACCATCTGTTTAATCATTTACTCAATCCATGGCTTCTCTAACCAGTCAGCTGTGACATGTGACAGGTCGACCAACACTTCGGTCTGCGACTGCCGACCAACCGATCTCCTTCTCCAACCAGTCAGAGCTGTGACAGGGCAACCAATACTTCGCTCTGCGAATGCCAGCCAATCGAGCTCCCATGCATACTTCTTAGTGTCACTAAGATATTCACTACGGCGGCTGGCGACCTGTTGTACACGAACGACTACTCCTCTCTCTCACTCTGGTCACTCTCACGCAGTCCGCCAAAGCCAAAGCCAAAGCCAAATGCGAATGACGCCGGTCAACCGGAACACGCGGCATCTGATATACACAACGTTTTTGACCGGCATCTGATATACACAATTTATTTATTTATTTATTTATATATTTCGGTCAACGGGAACACGCGGCATCTGACATACACAATGTTCTTGACCGGCATCTGCTATACACAATTTATTTATTTATTTATTTATTTATTTATTTATTTATTTGCAGAAACCCACAATGTTTGTATGTAGTCTATTTTATGTAGTTTGTGTTACCATAGTCCATGCGTCTGACTATTTGCTCTAAAAGATCCCCCTGCGGCTGACCCCTTTTTCTGTTGTGTGTTTGGGAAATCCCTGACTAGTTGTTCTCAAGGGACTCACTAATCCGTGTTAGCGTTAGTGCACAGAACAGTGAGGAGCAGAATAAACGCCCCGGAAAGCAGGACAAGCGACAGTTGACGCTACCCCGGCGGCCGGTCGACATTGACGACTCTGTCGCCGTCCTGTGAGGCTTCTGCAGCACATGGCCGACGACCTTTCAGCTCTAATAATTTCAACCTCCGACATTCGATCATATGAATCATTGAACGTGATGAATGTGATAGATGACGGATTTTCATATGCTTTGTATATGTACACGCTGCGCCTGTGAGCTGCAGCTGACCGACGTGGACGGGCACGCCCCAGCAAATGCACCATGCTTTGTATTTGTACACGCTGCGCCTGTGAGCTGCAGCTGACCGACGTGGACGGGCACGCCTCAGCAAATGTACCCGCCGCAAGAAAGGCCAACCTGGCAGCTCGAGCGTCTGCCGAAGTACCGACAACCGTTGCGGCCCTCGGCCAGCTTATTGGCAAGGCACACAACCTGCATTCACGAGGTCGTGGGTCAAATTCCCACGGCCGTGCCTGGCATGCCCTACCATCTAGAGATACGCCTGCCGTCCCCCCCGGGACATGGCCAATGTTGTTATGTTAGGAAGAGGAGGGGTAGGTTGTGTGTGAGAGAGAAGAGGCTAAGCCAGCACCAGCGCCAGTTTATCCTAGATGTTTTGGGAGGGACGAACTGGCCCATTGATTACCGGCGGTCAACGGGACCCTAGCCAACGTTGATGGGTGGAACGCAACATTGCTGGCTATTCGACACGGCTAATGCAGGCTGGGTGGGGGGAAAAGGGAAGGTTCATCCAGCGGCCTATCTCAGTTGGTTGGCCACGCAAGCGGCATTCAGGCGGTTGTGGGTTCATTCAGGAGGTTGTGGGTTCAAGGCTTCCAGTCCCATGACAACCTGCGGCGCACTTACAGTGCCAACCAGATGTGATAGAAGGCTAGAAGTAGGTTCTTTCATTTTTAAAGTAATCTATATTCTTCTCTCAATCTATTTCATCTTTCTTGATAGTACGCATCTATCTCATCCTCTTACTAGTCTATTTATAGTATGGGCCCTTGGGGGAACACCAACCAACCCGGATCTCTCCCAAGCCCACGGGGTAGGTTTGCACCACAGCTGTGGTGCGAGAGCAAGGCTGTACCAGTCCCTCATCACGGTGACGAGGGGTGGGCAGGCATTGCCGATGGGGGAAATCGGCGGTGCTAGCGCCGAGCAATGGCCAGTCACTGCACCTTCCCCTAACCCCCCCCAACCCCACATGGTGGTGTGTAATGGCCAATATTGTCGCTGCATAGCAGCCAACAACATCAGCCAAGGTCCTGCCAGCACGGGTATGAGTGTGAGTGTGAGGGGGTTGTGTGTGCTGTGTGGGAGGGTGTTGGCCTTAGACACTGCAGCTATTCCACAGGGGGTGGGGGCCTATGAAAAGGGAGGCATAGCTACTGGCAAAATGCTCGGTCTTTGTGTTAGGCAGACCCCCACCGGCAGCCCCACCTTACTCCCTGACTACCGCTGTTAGGGCAGGGGCAACATGTGACGTTCAACCTCAGGCCCTGCGCTGTCTTCCAGTCAGAGTGATTAGTTGTGCGGAATAGGCCCTGAAAGACAGCAAAATGGGGTGTGCCAAGGATTTTGGGAAATTGAGTTTGGGGACACAGACGGAACTGATTCAGAAGCCCCCCGCATGGTTCTGGTTTAGTGAGAAAGGGTCATCGCCACGCGGGAAGGGAACGACCGTGCGTAAACATCCATTCAATCCAAAAATCGTTGAACCTTCGAGCGGGCTATTGGCCATCTTTTAGAGTGGAAGGGCGAAGGTACCTACGTGTGATCTCATTTTCGAATCAGATCCCAACGCCGCTCATTACAGAGCTCGGAATCCGACGTGGATGGCCTCAACCGGGTTGCTCGTTCATTGTGTTCGTCTTCACCACATGTTCGGTAGTTGAACCCCCTTTTTTGATCATGCTCTGCATGGCAACAATCGCTACACAGAGTGTTGGGCCAGCAGGGTGCCACCGCCACCCAGAGGATGACAATCAACTCGTTAAAAGGCAATAACAAGGAGTACGGAGGGAAGTGAGTATCGATAATGACAAAACCAGCACCTACGAATCTGAAGCACCTCGTCTCAGGTGGAAAGTAATAACGTCCGCCGATCTTGGCGACGGATTCCCGGACGTCCTACACGTGTCCTTTCCTTGTTATACGGGAATGGCCGCGATGGATATATGGGGAGTCGGCATCCATACGGGTCTGAACAATTAGTCCACATGACACAAGCAAATTCAGACTACGGAAATCTACCCAATCGGCTGTTCAATCACAAGAGCAATCAGTTGCGATAATATCGGCTTTAATGCATTTCATCCATCCAGTGAACCGATGAAAAATGAAAGTGTGAGTTCGATCCAATCACAACAGCCATCATCATTCATCAAGGGAGCGGCAAACAAGCATTCCCATAACCTCAACAGGATTCTTACTTAGCTAGCAGAATCAATGCACATGCACATCAAATCTCACATACACGATTCTTCAGATGTTCGAGAGACACATCAACACAAAAAAAACGATAAGGGCTTTTGAGGCTTACTGGTCCCTTTGAGTTCAATGATACTCGCTTGTGAGAGACCCGGTTGAATTCAACAGGGGCGAGCGAGGCCAAGGAAATCTCGAGCATTCGTGAGATAGATAAAAGCAAGAGAACAAGAGAGAGAGAGAGAGAGAGAGAGAGAGAGAGAGAGAGAGAGAGAGAAAGAGAGAGAGAGAGAGAGAGAGACGGGCGCGCAGCTTGACCAAAAAAAA